AAAGCCATTTTCACTCACCTTGTCTCTGGATTGTAGCCCAGGATGTAGAAAAAGGAATCCACTCGTGCCTTGAACTCTCTAGCAGCAAATATGTCAGAGAAATGGGAGATGTTGCACTTCCCTCTGAGAGGAGGAAAGAGGAGAAAATGGCATTAGAATTGTGCTTTGAGTAACAGCTCCTTTAATTAAGTGCCACTGCAATCTGGGCAGCAGCCACAGGCACATCCTCGCTCTCATAAATGTCCAAAACGTCATAAATACAAAGCTGCTGTAAGAAATAACCATGTGGGCTCTTCCCACGGTGGGAAGGGGAGGAAATCCASTTACAGAGTCTCTGCAAACATTCATTAATTCTGCAGCCAGCACAGCCCCGAGGAGCCCACATTTAATCAGAACAACCAACAATAGCTAAAAATGCAACCCTGACAATGTCTAATTTGCAAAAGTTTTCACAGTCCTATTACAGTTACATCTTCCAGAATTCTACAGTCCACATTGTTGATGTCAGCTTTCCATTTAGGAGGCTAAATAAAACTTGAGTTTAATCAAAGGCCCAAATGAAAAGCAAAGCTGTGGTGCTTTTAGCAAGTCTGCAAYCCAAATTCCAAACAGACAGCAGTTTCTTCCTTGTGTTTTCATACCTAAGAGAGTAAAACACACAAAGATATTTAAAAATAAAAGAGAAAAAAAAGAGACCTGAGGATTTCCTAGCTTGTTCTAGGCCAGATTGTTAATAATTGATTTAATATAGTTTGCTGATGAAGTTATTATCCCTAAGATGAGCATGAGGATTGCCTGTAAGAAGTTTTTTCTCATTTCTTGGAGGTTTTGTTGGGCTGTTGATGCTGTCAGTCCACCTGAGTAAATCAGAGCAGCAGAGAGAAGGGCCAGGGCTGGGCTTTTACCTGAACCTTTTACCTTTTTACCTGAGTCCCTAAAATGAACTCAAACTCAAGAGATTTTTGCTTCTCAGACTGCCAAGCTCYAACACAGACCTCAGTGGTTTCCAGGTTTAGCCATTTAGCAAGACAGAAAACGAGCAGGGGGATTTGTTTTAATATTTCACATTAAATTCACATTTTAAAAATATTGTGGGCAAAGAGATTTAGCTTCCTTTCAGTGATTCACCTGYCAGCTAATGAGCATTTTGCAGATGAGCTGCATTATCTCTATCGAATTCTGTTCACAGCATTTCAAACCAGCAAGATTTACCAGAGAGCTAAAAAACATAATTTTTATTACACACTTCTACAGAGATCTACAACCACCCTCCAGTTAAATTTTTCCACTGGTTAGAGCAGAAGATTGGTAGTTACAATCACTGCTTTTATTTCCCAGTTTGTCATCGATTCATTGTGTGTCCTGAGCCATTTGTTTGCAGAGRGCAGAGAAATAATCTCATATTATAATAAATTAGAATTTCATGTTAACCTTTCATGCATCACGACACATTCTGCCTCCTCCATGTTCTCTGCAAGAACACCATGTGCAATTATCCTTCTGCTCATCTGACACACTCTGAGGTTATTTTTCAAGTTTGTTTGGCACACACGKATATTCCATTTTTATCTTTCCCTTCTATCTTTTCTTTGAAGGAAAAAAAAAAAAAAAAAGAACAGAAAGGATGTAAAGTTTGAAGCTTTCCCAGTTAAAACTGCAGAGACTCAGTTGAGTTTYTCTGTTTGAGCAGATTCCCAGCCTGGCTCCACCAGGACAGCCAAAGCTCCTGCCAGGAGGAAATCACCAGAAATGCTGATTTAAAATTGTGAAGGAACTTTGGGAACTCAGCAARGGCATTGTGGAATTCCAGGGGCTCCTACAACACCACTGGAATGTCCTGAGTTTACAAAAAAAAAAAAAAGTCTGATGTGTAAATCAAAGATTTCCCCCCCAAAACAGAAGACAGTTTGTCTTGGAGTAAAGTGGCTTCAGCAAAGTGACTCTGAACAAAAAAATGTCTCCAGATGGCTGTGGTGAAACACCATCTGAGCACTATTATCAGGGAGATTATTCAATTTGCATTTTGACAATATCCACGCATGTTTGGCATGCTGAGAATCAGCTCGACAACAACGCCTGGCTGCTGGCACCTGAAAACTCTGCAAGGGAGGGTGCCCTGCCAGGGCTGGGCAGTGCTGCCAAAAATAAAGAGAGCAGGGCAGAGAGCAGGGCACACACTGGGCCATTCCTGCCCTCCTGGACCATTCCTGGACCATCCCTGAGCCATTCCTGGGTCATCCTTCCCCTCCTGAGCCATTCCTGCCCTCCTAGGCCATCCCTGAGCCATTCCTGCCCTCCTGGACCATTCCTGGGCCATTCCTGAGCCATTCCTTCCCCAGGTCATTTCTGCCCTCCTGGGCCATTCCTGAGCCATTTCTTCCCCTCCTGGACCATTCCCTCCCTTCCTGAGCCATCCCTGAGCCATTCCCTCCCCTCCTGGGCCATTTCTCCCCTCCTGAGCCATTCCCTCTCCTCCTGAGCCACTCCTTCCCCTCCTGGGCCATCCCTGAGCCAGGTCATTTCTGCCCTCCTGAGCCATCCCTGAGCCATTCCCTCCCCTCCTGAACCATTCCTAGGCCATTCCTGAACCATTTCTTCCCCTCCTGGACCATTCCCTCCCCTCCTGGGCCATTCCTGGGTCATTCCTGAGCCATTCCTTCCCCTCCTGGGCAGGCAGATCTGCCTCCCTCTGTGCTGTGACCACTGAAAATCTTTAATGGAACTGAAGCAGGGCAGGACCCCCCAGCCCAGAGAGCTGTGACCCCCCCAGAGCTGTCCCCAAGCCCCCAGAGCTGTCCCCAGCTGGCACTGACCCCTCCAGAGCTGTCCCCAGCTCACAGATTTGTCCCCAGCTGGCACTGACCTGAGGGCAGCAGCGTGGTACGTGTCCACGTAGTCAGAGATGAAGAGCTCTCTGTTCTTGATCACTGGGTCCGTGATCACCAACTCCCGTCCTGAATCTGCAGGGAGAGTGGTAGCCACAGCCCCCAGGGCACTCAGCTGGGCCAGCAGGGCCACTGGGCATCATCCCTGGTAGCCACAGCCCTCAGGGCACTCAGCTGGGCCAGCAGGGCCACTGGGCATCATCCCTGGTAGCCACAGCCCCAGGGCACTCAGCTGGGCCAGCAGGGCCACTGGGCACTGTCCCTGGTAGCCACAGCCCCCAGGGCACTCAGCTGGGCCAGCAGGGCCACTGGGCACTGTCCCTGGTAGCCACAGCCCCCAGGGCACTCAGCTGGGCCAGCAGGGCCACTGGGCATCATCCCTGGTAGCCACAGCCCTCAGGGCACTCAGCTGGGCCAGCAGGGCCACTGGGCATCATCCCTGGTAGCCACAGCCCCAGGATGGGCACTCAGCTGGGCCAGCAGGGCCACTGGGCATCATCCCGGGTAGCCACAGCCCCAGGGCACTCAGCTGGGCCAGCAGGGCATCATCCCTGGTAGCCACAGCCCCCAGGACACTCAGCTGGGCCAGCAGGGCCACTGGGCATCATCCCTGGTAGCCACAGTCCCCAGGGCACTCAGCTGGGCCAGCAGGGCCACTGGGCATCATCCCTGGTAGCCACAGCCCCAGGGCACTCAGCTGGGCCAGCAGGGCCACTGGGCACTGTCCCTGGTAGCCACAGCCCCAGGGCACTCAGCTGGGCCAGCAGGGCCACTGGGCACTGTCCCTGGTAGCCACAATCCCCAGGGCACTCAGCTGGGCCAGCAGGGCCACTGGGCACTGTCCCTGGTAGCCACAGCCCCAGGGTGGGCACTGAGGGGACAAACACCCTGTTTATATCACCAGGAAATTATAGAAGAATTAATGTGTAAAAACATCATATCCACCCTCAAACCCCAAAGGAAGGAGCTTTCAGGGGCACTGGTGACAAATCTGCAGCACTCCCAGGAAAGGAACCAAGGACATTCATTTGTTCTCCTTTCCAGGAGAAGGTTTAGGTTCCTGTGCATATTTAATGTCAAATCTTCAACAAAACCCTGACAGCAGGAACKGCACAGTGCTCTGGCTTTGAGGTAAATATTGATATTCATGTTCAAACACAGAAAATTCCCAGTGTTAACAAAGAACGGGAGGAGAACTTTTTCCATGACTTCCACTACCTTTGAGGAAGACACAAAAACAYTTCTCCACACACACGAGACTGCATAAAAAAGCAGCCATGCTATCAAAAAYACTTTTTGACACTGTGCCTGTAATCTCATTGTTGGAAGTTTCAAATAAATTAGTAAATGTTAGATTCGTGGAGCTTTTGCTAAGAGCACACACAAAAAAATGTCCTTAAAAAGGGGAACGTGTGCTCAACTTTGTTCTGTCAGGCAACAAAAAGTTGCTGCATTCCATATTTCAATCATCAACTTTTATCATCCCRGTTCACCTTGGAGTATCTTCAGAATTTTTAACAGTTGCCTCAAGGAAATTTCCTGGTAAGAACAGAAGCAAATGTTATGTCTTCCCTGGAGGCAAGAGATAAATGGCACTGGGTATGTACTAAAGTTTCTTCTGCTTCTATTAAACCCAAGATCACACATTTGTTTTTGCAAAGAGAAAAGGGAAAGCTCAGCTCCGAGTGCCTCAGTCCCATCCCTCCCTGCAATATTAACCATGGTGAATATTCATGGGCGTGGGAGCAGAGTGAAAAAACCACAGCTCTCATGGCACTGTGGCAGAACCACAAAAACCAGGAAGGATTCACAATTTCCTCAAATAATTTGATGCTCTGTTATCATTTATAGTGCAGTGTCCAGTGCCTGGTGAGGAGCCAGTGCTATTTTTCTTTTCTAGCTTCTCTCAAGGAGAAGATGATGCTGATGCTGATTATTATTATTATTATTAGTAGTAGTAGTAGTAGTAGTAGTAGTAGTAGTAGTAGTAGTAGTAGTAGTATCATTATCATTATTTCAGTATTATTAATATCACTAATATTATCAGTATTATTAATATCATTATTATTTCAGTATCATTAATATCATTAATTTCAGTATCATTAATATCATTAATATTATTATTATTTCAGTATTATTAATAYCATTMATCATATCATTTCAGTATTATCAATATCATTATTAATACTAATAATGAACAATACAGAGCTCCCAGCACACCTGGATCACCCRGTGGGTGACAGGGACAGGAAGGTCACAAGTTTCCAGTCCATCCCCAGCTCCCTGCCCGTGTAAATGCAGAATTTTGGGGGTTCACTCACCGTTCTCGTTGTGCCTGTCCTGCACCAGGTGTTGGTACACCGAGTCGGGCACCTCGGACTGGCGGTAGTACCACTTGACRTTCATCAGCAGATGGTCCCGTTTGCTCTGAAAAACAACCCCAGCGTGTCACTGACAGGAAAAACAGCCCCCAGCCAAACATCTGAGAAAAACTGAGAAATATCTGAGAAAACATCTGAGAGCTCTGAGAAACCCCCAGAGCCAGGGGAGCATTTCTGCAGCCCAGACCAAAGCAAGGAAAACCTTCTGCATCTCCACAAACTGCATCTCTCTGTGTGTCTGACCTGCAAACCCCAATTTACTCTCTCTCATTAATTAACCCAAGAGAAAGGGCAGGGATCAGGAAAGGATTGCAGTTTCTGGCCTTGTGCAGCATGGTCTCAGCCTGCTGATTTCCACAAACACAAAGTATTTATGGCCAAACATGCAGGAAGAATACCCACAGTTCCATCATTTAGTGCAGCCATTCTAACAGTGGAAACCAARAGATAATAGATTTTYCTTCCCCCAAGGACAGATGGATCCAGACATAATCAYAGACCTTCTTTATGACACAAAAGAACGGGATACTGCACTTCAATCACAATAATTACAGCCTCTGACTGCTCATCAACCTCACAGCAAAATTTACACAAAACTCTCTTCCCCAAATGCTCCTTTTTCATTCAGGCTCCAGCCACCAATTTGTTCCTTCTTASAAGGAAACCGAAGCATAAACACCACTTAAAAGCAATTTTAAGATCAAGTCACTCCAGACTCTGCTCATTTATGTCTGAGCCCCTTGGTCTGCAATTCTTCCTGCTGCTCCAAAACACTTGAAGAAACAAAGGCCTGAAGGGAAAGTAAAATTCCTTTAGCATGAGGCAGCTGCAAACTTGTTTTCCTCTGGACTGCAAAGCTCTAGACCCTTCTCAAACTGCTCGGAAAACATTTCCAATTCAGAATTAAAGGGCCAGGAGGTTCCATTGTGCACCAGCCTGGGTGTCACAGCTTTTCTGCTGAATGAACAACATCCAAAGCTTCCAGCAAAGGCATTTCCCCGAGCAGAGCCCGTGTAATACCGGCAAACCACTGCCAGTGGCAGCATTGTGCCAGGAAAGCTGGGAGCGAGCCACGGCTTCCACAGGAGATCATCATCCTGCATCCCAAACCCAACGGGAATGGTCTGAGCATCTCTAACCCTGCTCTGAGCATCCCTAACCCTGCTCTGAGCATCCCTAAACCTGCTCTGAGCATCCCTAAACCCAATGGGAATGGTCTGAGTATCCCTAAACCTGCTCCGGGCATCCCTAACCCTGCTCTGAGCATCCCAAACCCAATGGGAATGGTCTGAGCATCCCTAACCCTGCTGAGAATGGTCTGAGCATCCCTAAACCTGCTCTAGACATCCCTAAACCTGCTCCAGGCATCCCAAACCTGCTGGGAATGGTCTGAGCATCCCTAAACCTGCTGGGAATGGTCTGAGCATCCCTAAACCTGCTCCGAGCATCCCTAACCCCATTCTGAGCATCCCTAAACCTGCTCTGAGCATCCCTAACCCGCTGGGAATGGTCTGAGCATCCCTAAACCCCGCTGGGAATGGTCTGAGCATCCCAAACCCCGCTGGGAATGGTCTGGGCATCCCTAAACCTGCTGGGAATGGTCTGAGCATCTCTAAACCCTGCTGGGAATGGTCTGAGCATCTCTAAACCCTGCTGGGAATGGTCTGAGCATCCCTAAAACTGCTCCGGGCATCCCTAACCCTGCTCTGAGCATCCCTAAACCCTGCTGGGAATGGTCTGAGCATCCCTAAACCTGCTCTGAGCATCCCTAAACCTGCTGGGAATGCTCTGAGCATCCCTAAACCTGCTCTGAGCATCCCTAAACCTGCTCTGAGCATCCCAAACCCAATGGGAATGGTCTGAGCATCCCTAAACCTGCTGGGAATGCTCTGAGCATCCCTAAACCTGCTCTAGACATCCCTAACCTTGCTCTGAGCATCCCAAACCCGCTGGGAATGGTCTGAGTATCCCTAAACCTGCTCTGAGCATCCCTAAACCTGCTCCGAGCATCCATAAACCCTGCTAAGAATGGTCCGAGCATCCCAAACCCTGCTCTGGGCATCCCAAACCCTGCTCAGAACATTCTGAGCATCCCCAAACCCCACTGGAACACACTGAGCATCCCAAAACCCTGCTCTGAGCATCCCAAA